AGCCTCTAATTTGTTTTTGTTGTTTATTACCCATAACCTATCCGTTTTTTTTTAGGGTGACCCTGGCACTCCGCTCATCTCCTACATGCACACCCTCCTGGCGCCCCAAGGTTCGTTTGCTGTCGACTACGTCCTCGGTATCGCCTCCTCGCTGTCGTACTGCACCGTGCGGGACTCTGACGGCCACCTACTGCCAGACCTGTTCGCCGACGTTAGCCAGCACATAGACTGGATCGAGCGCACAGTGTGGCCTGGCCAAGCTGACTGATTGCTTAGTTGTAAGAATGAACCGATGCCTAATAATGCCTATTGTCTGTCTGATAATATACGAAATCAAGTCATTTCCCCTACTCAAGACTAGCTTGGTCACAAGTGAAGTACGTTACGGCCAGTAAGCTGTTATCGTTTATTCAATTAATTTTGTGTAAGCAAATGTGTAACTCGTGCATGTCCTACCGTTCAAAAACCCGCGTGGCTCTTCTCTACATGAACTCTCCGGTGGGCTGGATCGTGAGCTCGACGATCTGAAACACATCAACATGGATGGCATGTGGGACATTTGGGACAAGAACGGTCAAAGCCAAGCTGCCAACAGGGCAGGGAGCGGTGGCCGGCGGTGGTTTAAGTACCTCGACCGCGGGGGGTGAGCTGAGGACGAAGAGCGCGGCGCGTGATACATCCTTGGTCTTGAGGAGCGTGTCTTCGTCCGTAATCAGGCTGGCGTACTCCTCGGGAAGCATCTCGGTCCGGACGGAGCCCGGGCTGAGACTCTGAAAACAACACGGAAAAAAGTTAGCTAAAATAGCTAATACATGGCCTTAGACCTCAATATTTGGTCGCTGAGCTAATTCTCAATATATTACCTTTCAGAGCTAGTTGCTAATTTTTTTTCGCTCTCTTAGCTAATAATTATCTACGCACGCTAATATTCTATTCTATAGACATGTATTATTAGCAAATGCATTAGCTAATTTAGCTAATTCTTTTGGTTTCCCGTGAAGGCAATGAGCGGGCGTTATTAGTGACGAGCATCCCCCGGAGCAACGAGCTGCACAGGGGACGCCGTCGAGCGCTGAGCTCCCTCACCGTGACGCGGATCCTGAAGCCGCTGGCCTTGAGCGCCTGCAGGTCGGCGCGCAGCCCCTTGGTGAGGGCCACCGTGGCGTGCTTGGTGGCGCAGTACGCGACGACGGACCCGAGTCCGGGGGACGCGAGGATGCGGTGGCCAGCGGTGCTGCACAAAAGCACTTCACGTCAAGAGAGAATCCCGCGAAACAGTCGGACAGTTGCTACAGACTCCTTGGCCTCGACACCCCTGTTTTCAAGTGTAGGCAGAGGCAGACCCGCCATAACGCTCTACCCCACCTGTTAATGTTGATAATGTGTCCGTCCTTGATGTCGTGCTTCTTCATGCTGTCGACGCCTAGCGAGCAGCCGATCAGCACAGCCGTGAAGTTCGTGGAGATGAGCTTCTCAGAGTCGGTAGGGTCCTGGTCTGCAACACAGAGTTGAGATCAGGCCGCTGGGATTGTGAGCCAAGATCAAAATGGTCCGCTCCGTCCCCGTCAGGGCTGACGGTCCGCGCCGCGAGTGCTTACCTGGGACGGGCACCTGCGACAGTATGGCGGCGTTGTTGACCAGGACGGAGATGCCGCCCAGGTTGTCGTCCACCCACTTGAAGACGCGGCGCAGCTCGTCCGTGCTGGAGAGGTCGGCCTGCAGCGGCTCGAGGCGGCCGCGGAGCCCGGGCAGCGAGGCGGCCTGCGCCTGGAGTCGGTCCACGCGGCGCGCCACGCCCACCACCACCATGCCGGCGCGCACCAGGTCCTCGGCGATCTGCGCGCCGATGCCGCTGCTGGCGCCCGTCACCACGGCCACGCGGCCCGCGAAGCGCTCCATGCCGAGGGACTTGTCGAGCTACTGAACCGAGATGGCTGACGGTGTCGCTGAAACTGTTCTATGCCAGATTCTGGTCTGCGAACGACTGTCCACTTGGCTTTTCAACGGTCACGCTCGAGTGGATTGCTAGATTGCCGGAGTCTACCACCCATCGCGATAAGATAGCAAAGAATCTTTCACACTTTTCACACTTTTCACACCTTTCATTCGTGATTCATAGTCAACATTCGTTAGGTCAAGAATTAAAATTCGGCTGTGCTTCCGGTGTATCAATAAAGCGGTAAATTCCAGCGAGTCAATGAAAATCTTTTATCGATATGTAACGTCCCAGGGAACGCGGAAACGTCACAAAGAGGCCATTGACTTTATTCTGGCTCATTTTTTCAGCCCAAATTTGGAACTTACTGTAGTCCCACACATGCTTACGCCCCCCATTTTCGATTTTCCCAGGTCGGGCACAACGGTTCACTAACTAACTGCCCCCTACTTGGGGCACTACGTACGAGTAAGCGCTCCGGGATCATCTAGAAAGTACGCCTGTTCCGTCATTTGCCTTACGAACCCGCCAAGTTAAGTCTAAGAAAGCTCTCACAGCGCCTGCTGGGTAGGCAAGATTTTGTCCACAGTGCATGCGTGTATTGCGGGCTGGTCTATCCTTAGTCTCGCAGGCGCTGAGCTCCTCTATTTGACGAATGAATATGAGAAAAACGGGCGTACTCTTTGCACCACTA